GAAATTGTTCGGATACGTTTCATCCCGAGCTCTCGTCTTCCGAAATAACGCGATTATCGGCGCGAGCGAAACGAACGCCCGGCGTCCCGGCGACATCGACGGGAATCGGGGAATTCGGCGTCGATAGCGGGACAATGTCCACCGCTTCCCGCCGTGACTGATCTATGTTTCCGGCGGTTCCGGCCTAAGAGGGAAGTTTAACCCGGATTATCGTTTGCTGTTTAATTCCTTTGCAATCGGTGACAAACGACGCCAGTCGTTGATAGAGGGACGATGATTGGAATACATATGATTGTGATAGGTGCGAGAAAGAGAGCATGATTCGTTTAGAGAGATTGTTAAATATTCATGGATAGTTTTAGAATGATTTGGAAGTAATCAAATTCGTTTAGAACTGAGTAGATTCGTTTGAAATAGTTCAAGATCTTCTAGAACTGTGCAATATAATTTACAAACTTTTGGAACTGTTCGTGATAAGTCCAGTACGCTTTTAGTATTACTTTCAGAACTTTTAGTAGAAAAAAAATCAACATTTTGGAAAAGTTTTGACTATTAATTTATAGAAAAAATAGCAATTTTCCTCTATATACAGAGTAGAAAAATAGGAAATTTGATAAACGACGCCACTCGTTGATAGAGGGACAATGATTGTAATACATATCATTGTAATAAGTGCGAGAAAGAGAGTATGATTCGTTTAGAGAGATTGCTAAATATTCAGAATAGTTTTAGAATGATTTGGAACTAATCAAATTCGTTTAGAACTGACTAGATTCGTTTGAAACAGTTCAAGATCTTCTAGAACTGTGCAAAATAATTTACAAACTTTTGGAACTTTTCGTGATAAGTCCAGTACGCTTCTAGTATTACTTTCAGAACTTTAAAATTAAAATTTTGGAAAAGTTTTGACTATTAATTTATATAGAAAAAATAGCAACAATTTTCCTCTATATACAGAGTAGAAAAATAGGAAAATTTGACAAACAACGCCACTCGTTGATAGAGGGACAATGATTGTAATGCATATCTTTGTAATAAGTGCGAGAAAGAGAGCATGATACGTTTAGAGAGATTGCTAAATATTCAGAATAGTTTTAGAATGATTTGGAACTAATCAAATTCGTTTAGAACTGACTAGAATCATTTGAAACAGTCCAAGATCTTCTAGAACTGTGCAAAATAATTTACAAACTTTTGGAACTGTTCGTGATAAGTCCAGTACGCTTCTAGTATTACTTTTAGAACTTTTAGAAGAAAAAAAATCAACATTTTGGAAAAGTTTTGGCTATTAATTTATAGAAAAAATAGCAACAATTTTCCTCTATATACAGAGTAGAAAAATAGGAAAATTTGACAAACAACGCCACTCGTTGATAGAGGGACAATGATTGTAATACATATCATTGTAATAAGTGCGAGAAAGAGAGCACGATTCGTTTAGAGAGATTGCTAAATATTCAGAATAGTTTTAGAATGATTTGGAACTAATCAAATTCGTTTAGAACTGACTAGATTCATTTGAAACAGTCCAAGATCTTCTAGAACTGTGCAAAATAATTTACAAACTTTTGGAACTGTTCGTGATAAGTCCAGTATGATTCTAGTATTACTTTCAGAACTTTAAAATCAAAATTTTGGAAAAGTTGTGACTATTAATTTATATAGAAAAAATAGCAACAATTTTCCTCTATATACAGAGTAGAAAAATAGGGAACTTTTATGGAATAATATTGACGTAATCAAACCCTAGACTGATTGGGACATGCATAATGTAACGACCGGTAAAGTTTTAATAACTTATTGAATTATTGAACGGGAATTAGAAGAATGTAAAATAAGTTAATGACTCGATTTATTATTTACGCGGCGTTATTGAAATTGTGTTAAAAAGGAAACGGTTCCGACGCTTTTTGTTAGAGTAAATTGTCTTTTTGAATAAAACAACAGCCATTACTAAATAAATTTAACATATATTTGAATTCTCCTTGATACGATAATAATAAAATAATCGAATATGTTAACGATACGATTCATCGCTACGACCAATTTTTAGGGAGTTATATACATTTTTTTTTGCTGTATAATAATTCGAATGTCTGTGCACATTAAAATTCGAAAAATCCCCCAAAGAGAAGGGCGACTTTTAAAACACCACTCATCGAAGATAGGCCCTTTTATAATGCGATTATTCACCCTTTTACGTCCGGCAATCCTTTTTCGATTGAAGTCGATAGAAATTATACATCCGAACCGATCAAAAAAAAAATTTAACACGCCATCAACTCCACAAACCTACGGTAACGAATAGAGGCGCGGAAGAACCGTTATTTCCTAACACCGATTCGAAAAGAAACAATATTTTTTTTTATTCGCAATTAATTCGAATCGATTTAACCATAAAATATGTAACGACGATTCCCCCTCGGGCCCCGCTCCCCGCCGCCCCCGCGCGCCTCGTAAGCGCAGGGAGCACTCCTGCCTCTCCAATTTAAATAATTGAATACATGAATTCCTGATAAGCCACCATGCATAGTGCATGAAGCAAATTTGATAATAAATAAAACTAAATAACGCCGATATATATACCGAACGGACGCCCATAAATATTTATGATATTTAAAATAATAAACAAGTCTTGGGAGAGAGTTCGAGAGACAGACGGAGAGAGTTTCTGCCCGAGTTCGGGGAGAAGTGCATTTAAATTAAACAAAAAAACCGAGCTCGACTCGAACTGGATTGTTTACTAGTTATTGGATTTTCCCAATTGTATTAATTATCTTTTAGTAACAGCTAAAAGTAGGTTAAGTACCTACTGCAAGTAGAGTTGCATAACTATTAGGTGCATAAGTAAGAGATATCATCCTGTATAATATAGCAGATAATTGTGAATTACTTGCAATGTTTAACTTCACTTGTCTATTTAAATATTATTTGCTTTATTAGACAGTGTGGGATCCTTTTAAAGTAACTACTGCAAGTTTAGTTGCATAACTATTAGGTGCATAAGTAATAGAGATCACCCTGTATAGCAGAAAATTGTAAATCAATCGCAATGTTTGTGTATATTAGTCAATTAGGGATGCTTTTAACGTACCTACTGCAAGTATGGTTGCATAACTAATAGGTGCATAAGAAGTAGGGATCGCCCTGTATGTAAAATAATAGAAAATTTTCCGTTTTAACGCTTCACGCATGTAGTTCGGTGCCGTGGAGGCTCGTAACTCGCGAAATCGGTAATTAAAAACGCAGGTGTCGCTGCGCGAGGTACCCCCACGTACGGCAGCGAGTACCGATTTTTCATTATTCCATTATTCCATTCGGCGTCGATGGAAAAAAGCCGGCCGTGCTTCGGGCCTTATTACGTTTCCATGCATTTATGACTGATTTAATCTTTAATATGGCGAGTCTTAAACTTTAATAGTTTATTTATTATTTATTTGGAGCTTAATGGAAAATGGGATTGTTAATTTCGAGCTCGGCGTGCCGGTTCTCGCGAACGAGGTAGCTGTGGAACAGCGACGTACGAGGATAGCGCGAATTTCGCGTGTTACCCTCGTAGGTAATACGCGAATTTGAATTTAGTGGAAAATATCCACGTATTACCGGGTATATAATAATCGAGTTAGTGACGTTATGGATGTATTATTTATGGAAGTATTTGATGAGTAAATTTTTTTGGGGTACGCCACTGGGGTTGCGGGATTATTAATTTGATATGTCCTTTAAATGAGGTAGCTGGAAAGCGTTTACAATTTATTTTGTCGTGAATGCTACTGCTACTCGGATTCATTTGTATTCGATTTTTTTTTATCGATTCGCATTATCCGCTCTCGAGATGTTATTAGGTTTTCGATGGGCCGGTTTTAATGAAAGATATCGCCTCGTACATCTAGCGGGTGATAAATCCGAAAACGAAAATCGCTCTCTCACCTGCGAGCCGAGCGCATTGTCCGCAGTTTTCTGCAAATTCGAAAAGCCGTTTTAACGTATGCACAATAGATAGAAATAAAATAATAAAAAAAAAACCATATACACAATCGAGCTAAAAATGCACCTATATACGGCTGCAAACGTGGGACCCGCTTTTATCTCTGTTCGTTGGCTTGGGAAACTTTTTTTTGCGCCTATTTTCTCGTTTTTCAGTTTTTGTTTTTCTACATGAAAACTCTCGATTCGATGCAGTTTAACGTCGATTATGACGGAAATTTTACGCTCACTCGAAACGCCATTTTATTCGCTTTTTATTCGATTACAAGCGCATACAGTTTTACTTTTACATCGCGGAAAAAAAATTTATCCCGACTCCGATAAATCTCGCTAAACTTACCGAACACCCCTCGTATACAAACATTCATATTAACACTTCATTAACAAAGCTATGATGATATTCCACTGTATAATACACTAATTTCTGTTTTGATAAAAAAAAAGGGAATGAATTTCTAAAAGAATGTAAAAAATGATCAACAAAAAAACATTACAAGATAAGTCGATTTATGCGGAGTTTATTTTTCGACTGAATACCACAGTGCACAAAGAAACCTGTGGAATTTTCCGAATTTTCGGCGTCGCGACGCCGCGCGTCGAGCGTCACTTCGGGGCGTCCCGGCTCTTTTACACTGAGGAAAAAACTGTATTTTCTATTAGTAAATATTGCTTTGGAAGATATTTATTCATATTGAAACTGCTAGTGTATTCCATAATATAACTTACTAAATATGATAACAAGAAAAAATCTTGTTTAATAATAAATATATGTGTTGATTGTTGAATAATCTATTATAAACTACAAGTTAGATGATTTGCAATAAAACTATTTGGGTAATATATACTCAATCGTTACTAATAAAGGTGAAAAATTTTTAAATACATGATTGACATATTAAAAATATAAACATATGTTGTATTAAATATATTGTAATTCTGATAAGTAATTAATTAATTTAATATAAATTTATTATATTTAAAATTATCAATATTATAGAGAATAATAAATAATATTTATTGATTAATATCTAATATATGGACGTAGTCCGCCTAATTTCACTGGCTTTGTTGGCTGTTGTTCTATTTGTTTTGATGGATGCTGTACCGTACGCCACGCCGTACTAACCGTACCGTTTCCCAAAATTCCTGCAACCATCAGGCCGGTCGCCGGTAGTAACATTTTTGTAGTGCAAGAATTTTGCTTGTATTTAATTGTTTGTTACATAATTGTGTAAAAGTGCTTCTGTAAAGGATACTACTATGCAGGTTAGTAATGAATTTGTTCTGATTGCATTATTTAATCACAACAACAAAAATGACAGGAACCGGAGCTCATGAGAGACTGAAAAACAAATTTGTGGAGGATTTAGGATTGGAAAGTTCAATTCCTTTATTTGTAAGTAAACATTAATTCTTAGCTTTTTTTATTTTTGTAACGGTTTTTATTTCATTGCAGTTAATTCAATCAAGAACATGGCAGAATTGGAGCTTCATGCTAGTTCACGACGAACAGTATTTCGAAGAAATTTGTCCAATCAGAGGAGAAAAATTTTGTCTTCTTAACCGAAGGAGAAATAATTAATTTGTAAGGTATTGCGTTTTTTCCTATTCTGAAATAAGTTTTCTTTTGGTTTTTGTTTAGGAAGACTGCATCTACTAGTTCTGATGCATCTACATACTTCACAAGACTTTCGACCCTTACCGTTCTCGACCCTTATTTTTGTTCTATTGTTCTTGTTAATGTACCTCAATTAATAACTTAAGTTCAATAAATATTTTCAAATACCTTTATTATGCATTTTTTATTTGCAACAATTCTTATTTTCCCGTTTTATTTACAGGATGACTTGTATTTCTACTTTTATATTTTTGGGATAGTTTTCAGTAAAATCAGTTAAAACCGAAATTAGAACTGATTTTACTGAAACCTAACCTAAATATAAAAGTAGCAATACAAGTCATCCTGTATAAATGAAACTAATATAATTATTAGGTAAATACAATTGAGAGTTGATTAAAAATAAATTCAGGTTGGTTTTATAATAAATATTAGTGTATTTATTATTAATCTATCGAGTTCATAAGAAAACCTAGAAAAGTTTGTTAATAACCTGGTGTAGTTGTGTTGATATCATTAATAGTGGCAATAAATATAAAGTATTTTTATTTTTAATCAACATTTTATTTTAAGGAATACATCGTATATTACTAATTTAATAGTCAATTATTGGTTATATCCTAATAAAAATTGGTTATGTCGGATTCTGATTCTCTCATAGCTTAATTCTTAACCACATTGGTTACATATAACTCAACCTTTTTCTCAGTGTAAAAGCGCACAAAGCCGAGCCGACGGATTTCACGGGCGATTAACCGACGATTCGACCTCGAAATACCGTCGGTGTCGTCGCGACGCCCCATCTGCTTAGAGAAATTAATCCGACGCGGGAGAGCGTCAATCGAAACTTACCCCGCACAACGGCGACCCTCTAGATTTATACTTGAATATGACTTACCTGAAAAAAAAGAGAAAAATTTATTAGTTAGGTAAATATATTATATTTAGAGTACACTAGAGTATAATTAGAGTAGATTCAGATCTGGATTCGTAGTAGGTACTCGTAGATTCAGAGTAGAATAGATTCAGTGTAGATTTAGAGTCGATTCAGGGTTGATTCAGAATAAAATCGGAGTAGATTCAGAGTATAGATTCAGATCTAATTCGGAGTAGATTCAGATCTGATTCGTAGTACTCATAGATTCAGAGTATAGTAAATTCAGTGTAGATTTAGAGTTGATTCAGGGTTTATTCCAGAATAAAATCGTAGTAGATTCGGAGTATAGATTCAGATCTAATTCGGAGTAGATTCAGATCTGATTCGTAATACTCATAGATTCAGACTAGAGTAAATACATATAGGGTAGATTCAGAGTAAATTCAGCAGATATATTCAGACCTAATTCAGAGTAGATTCAGTGTAGATTTAGAGTTGATTTAGAGTTGATTCAGAGGAGAGTCGATTCAGAGTGAAATCGGAGTATAGATTCAGATCTAATTCCGAGTAGAAACAGAGTAAATTGAGAGTAGATACACCGAAGAGTAGCGCAGATTAGAGTAGAGTAAAAAAAAGAGTAAAATAGAGTAGAATAGCGTAAATTCAGGGTAGGTTTAGAGTAAATTCAGCACAGATTCTGACCTAATTCGGAGTAGATTCAGTGTATATTTAGAGTTGATTCAGAGTAATATCGGAGTATAGATTCAGATCTAATTCCGAGTAGAAACAGAGTAAATTGAGAATAGATACACCGAAGAGTAGCGCAGATTAGAGTAGAGTAAAAAAAGAGTAAAGTAGAGTAGAATAGCGTAAATTCAGGGTAGGTTTAGAGTAAATTCAGCAAAGATTCGGACCTAATTCGGAGTAGATTCAGTGTAGATTTAGAGTTAATTCAGAGTAAAAACCGAGTATAGATTCAGATCTAATTCCGAGTAGAAACAGAGTAAATTGAGAATAGTTACACCGAAGAGTAGCGCAGATTAGAGTAGAGTAAAAAAAGAGTAAAGTAGAGTAGAATAGCGTAAATTCAGGGTAGGTTTAGAGTAAATTCAGCAAAGATTCGGACCTAATTCGGAGTAGATTCAGTGTATATTTAGAGTTGATTCAGAGTAAAAACCGAGAGATACACCGAAGAGAAGCACAGATTAGAGTAGAGTAAAAAAAGAGTAAAGTAGAGTAGAATAGAGTAAAATTAATATTCTTGTAAGCCTATCTGAGGCATTTTAAAACATTTCATAAGAGTTTTAAGTAATTTCATAATGTTTGTGAAGAAAATACGACTGCGTGTGGTCGAAAAAACACGACTTAAACATCAGCAATACATTTTCATATGCACAAACTATTAGAGCCCAATTTGCATCGTACTCAAAAAAAAAACTAAAATAAAATAACCGCGGATGCTAACAAGAAAAGTTCACGAAATTCCACCACAATTAACGAATATATTTACTCGACTAAAATCGAATTTTAATTACGAAACTTTCCTCTAAACTCCCATTGAATTTATCGGCTCACCGTGTAGATACATGTAAAATTTCCAGCCAGTAGAGGGCGTTAATAATGCATTATACAAAGTAATAATAAATTACGCGGGGCTGAGCGTGCGAACATTAAGTGTTAAAGTTTTCGCCCGAAGATCTATATAATATCAGACAAAATGACACTTTACTTATCTGTATAACACGGGACACGTTTAAACGAGTCATTAAACTCTCGGTTAGGAGCTCGTTAACGTTTTAATTGTTTCGTTTTGAGCGATCCGAAGTCGGTGCAGATGCCGCTTGCACTCGCAGATACTAAGTAGATTTATATTGTCGCTCGTCCCAGTTCGGGTAATTTTCTTACTGCACTTTATTAAAACTAATGCGGCCCGACCGTTATGGATCGCCCGCTCGGGAAACTTTCTTGCGCAACTCCTCCCTATGACGTGTACCGTATTTGTTATTATCAGGGACTCTAAAGTTATGGTAAATTGCTTTTCTCTACTATATACCAAAATTCGCATCATAAATTCGTTTTTTATGCGTGTACTATAAGTTTGTAAACAACGACTACTTTTAGAAACCTTAATGCTTCATCGTGATGAAAGAAACGAATATTTTGAACCCTTTTATTATTTACTTCAAAGAGTTTTACGTTCGAAACAATCCTTTTAATGACTTATCCTGGATTCTGTAGAATTTACGGAACTACTAAACAGGACTCTTGTAACAAGCGTTTCCTTTTGCTATGAGCTCTCTTTTTTACAATTTTGTGAAATATTACCAAAAGATTGCTCAATTCGGTTGCGTCACAGTGACGTAATTATACTATTTAGCAGGTGTACCAATAGAATTTGTATACAGGGTGTTCCTAAACATCGTGTACATCCGAAAGGGGGTGACTCCTTGGCTTATTTTATGACCAAAAGTTCAGTACAGGGTGTTGAAATTTCAATTTTTTTTTGATTTTTTCTTTGTAAGTAGCTCCTGCATTTTATGAGATATTTAGCTCAAATTTTGAATCTAGATTGCTTTATAAGGCACACAATATTGGGTATATCAGATGGTTGTTGAATTCTACAGGGTGATATTTTTTCAGGGGTCATGTACCCTTTTTCCCCCCGAACTTTTTTGCTTTGCGCCGCTGGTAGATTCTAAAGTACATAATTAATTATCTGTTTTGTTTAGAAACTTTTTTTATTTTTAAGCTTTTTTCGTTTCTGTGACCGTTATCGAGAAAAAAATTAAAAATGATTTTCTGTACAAATGATTTATTTTACAAAACAAAAACCCTAAAAAATAACTATTAAATTACATTAAATTAAATGTTGAAAGTGACCCCCTTCTACTCAAGCTATACTGTATACCCTATATCCTATACCTAATTTGAGCTAAATATCTCAAAAACTGCAGGTGCTCTAAAAAAGAATAAAAAAAAATCTTGAAATTTCATCACCCTGTAGATCGGCACCGAAGCGTTTGCGGACCTATGTTCATATGAACTTTTAGTCATAAAATAAGCCAAGGAATCACCCTCTTTCGGATGTACACGATGTTTAAAAACACCCTGTATATGGAAAAATCGGTGTTTCCCCAAAAAATCGTTGAATAAGTAACGCTGCTTATGGAAAATAAAAAATCGGAAATGACAGAAACTCGCCAGGCCGACCGGGATTAATAATTGAGCGCGGAATTGGAAATTCGACACTGTTTTAATTCGCACGGCGCAAAAAAACCCCGTCCGTATCGAAGGAAATACGAAAAAAAAAAACAAAAAAAAAAAAAATCGGCGAAATCGGACGCACGTGAAATTTTTATTCATACATATCCATAAGTGAAAATTAATGGGAGGCGTGATAACGAATGAATTACCGTGCTTTCAGCGTTTTTTCCGGGATTGCAAAGATGGAGTCCCGACAGTGTTTGTCTATGCACTGTGCCGTATCACAAACGTGCGCATAAATCGTCATACATCTAGAATAAATATACAAAAATACATGCACGAACATATGTAAACGCATTACTATAGAGTCGATATGTACGGGTGATAAAAATGGAGGCGCATGTTCGCGTATACATACGCAAAAAAAAAGAGTCGAGTCCCGGAAAAAAACTGGAAACGCAAAAAAAACCGTACTTCATTATCGAAGTGTCGAACCGTATTGAACATATATGATTCATGTTTGAAAACGACAACTTCAATGCAAAAATATGCACTTCTCTTGTCATAAACAGGACATATATTGCACTGTTCATTATTAATATGCTATGAAAAATGAATCAAAAGATCCATACATTTCCAAGTTCTTTGTATGCATTTGCACATCCATGGATATATTTCGCCCGGAATAATAACGAAAAAGATGTGCACCTATATGTACGATGCAAATTTGCTACATATTTATAACGATCGAACTTATGCATTATTACATATGAAAGTTCGTTGTAATACTCGGGCGTTTTCTCGCACACAACTATACTTTGTACTTTACCACATTATTTATTTAATATCATTAGTAAAATTCTGGTTAAATAATTATCTAGTTTTCCCAACTTACTGTTATTTTAGTAGCAAATAAAGGCAATTTTTAGCTAGAAAAAAATAACAGCAACATTTTTGAGCAATTAGATTTTGCTTAAGCTTTTTTTACATAAAATTAACAACGCTTATCTCGAGGAAAAATAAATATGTAACAGCAGAACTTTGTTAGTAATTAATTGTTGATTAAAGTAGAAGATTGCAATTAGCAACATTTACGTAAAACGAATTAAATACCTAAAGAATTAATAAATGTTGCTTAAGTAATTTTGCAGTAAGCGATATTTCATCGAAGCAATCAATTAGTTTTCAATTAAGTCAATTAGAAAGCAATTAGTTTGTACGCAATTTTTAAGAGAAATAAAATTACCAACAATATTGTAGTAAATGTTGC